TTATAATTTGTCAAATATAAATATAATTTATATAAGTATATATATATATATACAATCAAATGTTTTTGTAAAATGTATAAATAAATAAATATATATATATATATACACACACACATATATATATATATAATGTATATATATTTATTAAATATAAATATTTATATTTTATATATTTATTTATATATTTTACAAAAACATATGATCATATATATATATTTATATGGTATATGCTGTGTTTATTGTATCTTCTAAGTTTTACTGACCATGACTGAGATTTTCTGACCCGTCCAGCCGCTAATTTCTCTCTGTAACTGGTGTTGTCCAACAGAATATCTCGGGACGATTCCACCTCTGATCCAAACTTTGGGAGGTCCAGTTGAAACACGACAGGAGGAGTCATGTCCAGTTCCAGAACCATTATATTCTCCGCCTACGGAGGTACACGAGGGACAAAAGACACAAGAACAATCACGTAAAAAACTGCACAATGCAAAAAAATAATTTTCTTAATTAGTATTTCTGTCTTTAAGTTTATAAATAACATCCTCAACATATTTTTGCAGTGCACATAATCACGCAGCTCCAGCACATGAACTATTTCAACCATTTGATTTGACATCCTCTGGCCATGTTCCACGTTTTCTTCCTACTCTTCCATCTCTCTTTCTCTCCATAAACATACCCTGTATCTGGAATGAGCTCCCATCGCTATGGCAACCCTGGCGTACTGGCTGATTGGTCGCTTGTATCCCACAGCGGAGGCGGGTCTTCTCTTCATTTGTGTGAATTTACTGAGTGAACACAGAAAACAGGCAAGAAGATCAACTTCACTCTCAGTCTGTGTGCTGTTCTGCTCAGAAAAACACTCAATCACAATGTCAGATCAGAGTTATTTTAGTATCATTGAAATAGTATTATAGTTTTTGTTACTATTTTTAATTAGATACTATTTTTATATTTACATTTTAGTTAAAGTTTTAGTAATTTTGTTGTATGCCATTATTATTATTTTTTAATATGTCTGTATAGTTTTTTTAAATTAAATTTTAGTTTAATTATTTTAGTACTTAAACAGACTAAATGTAAATTAGAAACGTTGCCTTTGAAAATGAGCTGAAATAAAATAAGTTTAAGTTTTTTTATATTTTATTTCAGTTAACACTTATTTTATTTCAAGTAATGAAACAGTTTTTTTAAGGTTTTATGGTTGGTATATATGTTTTCAATGAATAGAAGGGCTTTTGTTCTAAAAAATTGTGCCTATGTATAAATGTTGTTACAAAACTGAAAATATTTTTTCATTTGTGCTATTTGTGCTGTTTTGATGACTTTACTGTTATTCTAAAATGTGGAAAACAGTACAAAATAAAGAATGAGTTTGATATGTTTCGTCTGTCAGTGCAACTCGAAGTGCTGTGATATTAGCATCTGATGCATCACATGTATAGATGGACGTTCACTCACTTCTCTGCAGGAACGAGAGGCTGAAACTTCCACTGGTCTTCCTCAGCGTCAAACTGAAGTCTGTTCATGATTTTATTCTTCTCTTCAGGAGGTATAAAGTTCTCTATAATCAGATATCTGCAGAGACACAGATACATTAGCTGTGTGATTGTTCTTGAACCATCAGCAACGGTAAAATGATGCATAGATAAAGCAAATCATGTTTTTGTTTTAATGTGTGTCTTAGAACTCAGTGCTGGAGCTCAGACTCACTTGAATTTGAGTTCTCTGGTCAGTTCATTCTGTGTTTGCTCCAGCTCCTGTCGGCTCCTCACATGCTCATCATTCACATCCTGAATGTCAGCCTTCAGAGACTGAAGCTTCGCATACAGCTGCACAGACAGAGAGAGAGAGAACATGTGATCATCCGTCATCTGCAACATCTGTCCTTCATCATAATCATCATCACCTTTATCATCATCCATCCTTAATCATCTTCTTCACCATCATCCATCCATCATTCCTTCATCTTTATCATCATCCATCCATCTTTCATCTTCATCACCTTAATCACCATCATCCATCCATCATCATCAAAATCCATCCATCCTTCATCATATCATCATCCGTCCATCTTTCATCTTCATCATCACCATCATCATCCATCCTTTATCATCATCATCCATCATCATCAAAATCCATCCATCCTTCTTCTTCTTCACCATCATCCATCCATCCTTCATCATCCATCCATCTTATATCTTCATCATCACCTTCATCACCATTATCCATCCATCCTTCACCATCATCATCCATTCTTCATCACCATTCATCATCCATCATCATCATCATCCATCCTTCATCATCATCTCTCCAGCATCCTTCATCTTCATCATCGTCACCTTCATCCATCCATCATCATCCTTCATCATCCATCATCATCATCCATCCATCCTTCATCATCATCTATCCATCATCCTTCATCTTCATCATCGTCACCTTCATCCATCCATCATCATCATCATCATCCTTCACCATCATCCAACCATCCTTCATCATCCTTCATCTTCATCATCGTCACCTTCATCCATCCATACTTCATCATCATCCATCCATCCATCCTTCATCATCATTCATCCATCATCCTTCATCATCGTCACCTTCATCCATTCATACTTCATCATCCTTCATCATCATTATCCATCCTTCATCTTCTTCTTCACCATCATCATCATCCTTCATCATCAATCCATTCATCTTTCATCTTCATCATCCATCCCTCATCATCGTCATTCATCCATCCTTCATCTTCATCACCTTCATCACCCTTCATCATCATCATCATCCATTTTCCATCATCTATCCATCCTTCATCTTCACCATCATCATCATCCACCCATCCATCCTTCATCATCATCATCCATCCACCCTTCATCATCATCATCCATCCATCCATCCTTCATCATCATCATCCATTCACTCTTCATCACCTTCATCCATCCTCCATCATCACTCTCATGCTGTAATCAGTGCTCAGTCAGTGTTAGTGTGAGAGGTCAGCAGGGGTTAAAGGTGAAGGTCAGGAAGGAGCATGTAAAGGCTTTACAGGACTTTCAGGCTGCTGGTTGTGTTTCATCTGAACATCATAGCAGTTATTCCACACTCAGAATCCAACAGGAAGTGATGTGTTCTGGCAGGAAGTGGCGTGCAGATTAATGTGGGAACGGTGGAGCTCAGTCCTGTTTTGCCTGTCTACTATTGAGAATGAATCTCTGAAGTCATCAGAGCTTGAGGAAGAGGGTTTTGGTGTTTAGCATGCTAACAGTAAACATGAAGATGAATGCAGGTTGGCTAGAATTAGTTGCTGTGTCTTTTCATAACGCTTTAATGCCAAGACTAGCATTTAGCATTAGCCTCGTAGCTTCTGACAGTCTGAGACCGAGAAAGTGTAAAAGAAACTAACCTTCTTGTACTGATAAAAGGTGTTTTATTTTCTTCGACCCAATGCACCTAACTGGTCCTGATGTAGTTTAATGTGGCCTGCTACAATTTTTTCTTTCCAACAAAAACAATTCAAATATATTAAATTATATTATATAATAAAATATAATAAAATGTCAGTAATTAATGTGTTGAATGAGCTTTTTTAATATTTTATTTTTTATTGTAATTTTAGACATTTTGTTATTTGCGTTTTGTCTTTTTTTATTTTATTTTTTTTTAACATTTCTATTTAACTTTTAGCTTTAGTAATGTTGGTACCAAAACAATTAAAACATAATACATTTAATTCACAAATAAATAAATAAAAAGAAAAAAGAAATAAAAAAGGAATGTGGTGCTAAATTAAATAGAATGGTGCTAAACCCTTTAGACAATCGGACAAAAGTAACTCATATTTTGAATTAGCTTTATATATATATATATATAAATCATTTTAGTTTTAGTCATTTTATGTGCTTTTGTCATTTTTAAATTTTATTTTCAATACTACTATTTAACATTTATTTACTTTTTATTTCTAGTTTAATAATCAACAATTAAAATGTATTAAAATACAAAAAAAAGACATTTAAATAAAATGGTGCAAACCCCTTTACACACCCAGGTCTCAAAATGAAGTCATTGATATTTTGAATTAGCTTTTTAAAATATTTGTATTTTATATTTTATTCTTAGTCATATGTTTTAGCTTATTATTATTATTTCTATTTAATTTAAATTTTATTGGTACCAAAGTAGTAATGTTAGTAATTATATATAAAACATAGAACTATATAAAAAAATGTAAATAAAATATTTCTAAACTCTTTACACACTCACGTCCTGAGGTTTGAGTAATATTTTGACTGCTTTTATATGGTATACAGTATACTGTGACAGTAGTGATGGAAAAGAGATACAGAACAGAGAGAGAGAGAGAAACAGAGAGATGGTTTTAAATAGACGCGGGCCTCTGGGCAAGCGTCAGCAGGACGCTCCGTCATCAAACTCACACACATACACACACACACACACACACACTCAGCAGCAAGGATGCTCTCGTTTAACAGAGACCTTTCCATCCAGACCCCCCACATTCCCATCACCATGGCAACAGAGCTCAGTCTGGCTCATTATCTATTCACACTGCTGAGGAATTCATTGGCCAGGAGCTCCGAACACAAGCTCCGCCCACCTGCACATAGACACATCAATATTTAAGCAAAGCATGCTGGAAGAAGGCCAATGACTGAGTTTACTGTCAGCACATACAGGCTACATTTGGAATTGAACACTAACATACATTATATAACAATATTGTGAAACAATTATGATGAATGTTTAATTCAGCAAGTGGCGTTCAGTTATAATGGTTACAAAATGCCTGTTTTGCATTTTTAATTCATAATCTGGGGATTCCATGAATACAAAAATACAGTATAAATCAGTGTCATTTCTGTAATTTTGTAGTATTTACTAATATGTTAAATTAGTTTGTAGTTTTATATTTTCAGTTTTCATTTTAATATTAGTTTTAATACACCTTTTAGTAGTCGCGTTATATGCTCATAATTTTTATTTTATTATTTTTTATTTAGCTTTAATTCATTTTAAGCTTTTTAGTTTTATTAATTTTAGTACTTTAAATTATTTAGAGATTGCATGTATACAAATATACAATATTAATCTTTTATTTCAGTGTTGTTTACATAGTGTTATATCATTTAATAATATTTTAAGTTAGTTTTTATTTTTATATTTTCCGTTTTCATTTTAAAATGAGTTTTAATTTAAGTTTTAGTAATTTGATGTGCTTTTGTCATTTTTGTTAGCATTTATATTTCGCTTTAACTTATTTTTATTTCAGTCATTTTAGCACTTCAGATCATTTATTTAAGTTAGCTGCCAAAGCAACAGTTTAGTTTTTCCATCCAGTATTTATATTCTATTTTATTTCAAGTATATTGAATTAATAAAATGGGTTTTAATAATTTTGGTTTTTGTTAACAATAACTACACTGGTATACATTCAACACACAGTAAAAACAGTATGACTATACTAGCATTATACAATATTATACTATGCTACTCCAAATACAGTCACACACACAAACAAATCCAAAAGACACTATATAATTGTTTCTTCCTGTCTGTCTGTCTGTCTGTCTCGCCCCCACATCCTTTCTTTAAATGCAAGTACAATTAAACTAGAAAACAGCTGTGTAAACAGACATTAAAGGCTAAAAGTGTGTGAAGTGGTTTAGTCTGTTCCACAGGTAAAACAGGCACATGAGCGCTGGGACTTCACAATTAAACACTCCAGCATCACAATGAATCTGGGACAAAAACTGAGTCATGAGCAAAGTATGGAACGACACCATACTACTAACACTATATGTGCAGCACGTATAGTATGCAAATATTCTGTATGCATAAAATTCCTAGACACTCTGTTATTACTGTATATTCACTGAAGAAACAAAAAAAAAGAAAAGAAAAAAAATACATATATAAAACAAATGTATTTAAATATATTGAATTTAATTTTTTATATTTTAACAATTTTATTTTAATATATTTTACTGTGTCTGTTCCTCTTTTGGGCTTGAACTGATGGTAAAACGAATGACATTATTTACTGTCTTTTCATTTATTTTGAAAGATGAAGCTCGTGATTATGGTAAGGGGCGTTACATTTCTGACGAGTGCTTGTGGTGTTCGGCCAATCGCAATGCACTGGGTCAGCTGGCCAATCAGAGCAGACTGCGCTTGTCGGAAGGAGGGACTTTGTAGAAAACGAAGTGTTTGAGAGAGGCGGGGCATAGAGGACCTACAATAATGTACAGTATTTGAAAAATAATGTGTTTTTTGAACATTAAAGCATGTCAACATATTCTGTTACACCAAATACACAAAATAATGATCTTTAAAAAAGCATCATATGACCCCTTTAATATTTTCAATTTAGTTAAAATTTTAGTCATTTTGTCATTTTTTATAGTTTTATTAAATATGTCTATATGCTTTTATTAAGGTTAAGGTTTAGTTTTTAGTTTGATTAAGCTTTATCTATCATATTTTTATATTTTCTGATTTAATTTAATTGTATTGATATTTTCTGTTGTCATTTTTATTAGTTTTTGTTTTGTTTTTAAATTGTCTTTTTTAAATTAAGTTTGAGTTTATTTCGTTTTAGTTATTTTAGTCAACTTTAAATAACACTGAGAAATATTGCTTTGGAAACTAGCTGAAATGAAATAAGTTTTAATAATTTAATAAGTAAATTAAATAATAAATTAAATGTAAAATATGTTTTATATTTTATTTGATTTCAGTTCATGTTTATTATAAAAAATAAAAAAAAATAGTTTTGCACATTACAATAGTTTATAAAAAATAGTCTAGGTATTATAGTTTAAAAATAGTGTATATGCACACACAATCTTAACTCACACAATCTTCAAGCATGCTCACCTTAAACTTGGCTGTGAGGAGTTCTGTGGCCTCCTGCTCCTTCGTCAGATGTCTCATCATCCTCTCTTTCTCTTCCAGGAGTCTCTGTTTCTCCTCCGCCACCAGAGAATGATCATCTCTGATGGCCTCCTTCTCTCTCTCCAGCTTCTCCTGCTGTTCCTTCATGTACTCCTGCGCCTCCTTCTCCACGCTTTCTTCATCATCATCTTCAACATCCTCCTCCTCTACCTCTTCCTCTTCTCCTTCTCCGGTCTTCCTCAGGCTCCTGCTCCTCCTCTTCCTCTTGGTGAGCATGCCGCGTTTATCCAGCTGCGCTTTCAGCCGGGCGATCTCCTCCTGGAACTCCCTCAGGAGGGCGTCTTTGGGGTCTTCGTTGACACGAGGCTTGTTCTTGATGTTCTTGGCGCGGTTGGCGTAACGCAGGGTGGTCAGGGTCTCCTCGTAATTGTAGGAGGCCGGTCCCAAAGTGGCCACCATGATGGTCTTGGCGTTCCCACCCAATGAGTCCTGCAGCAATCGTGTGAGTTTAGAGTCACGGTAGGGGACGTGAGAACTTCGCCCGTCCACCAAGGCAGAGATTACATTTCCCAGAGCGGAGAGGGACAGGTTGATCTTGGTGGCCTCCTTTAGACGTTCTCCTTGGACGCCAGTCTTAGTCTGTCGCTCGCTGCCCGCCAGGTCAACCAGGTTGAGTTTGCCGACGCGGATGTGGTTCTGTCCGTCTGGCCCAAGCTGGCTGCACTCTACCGTGATGATGAAGATGGCGTGCGACCTTGAGCTGTGCTCGTTCATGTTGGTGAAGCCCACCGATCTGGTCTGGTTCCCCACATTCATCACGTGCTCGATCTCCTTCACGTTCTTGGTGACGAAGGAGGACAGATCTTTGATGTAGACCCCTGAGTCGGCGCTCTCCTTCAGCTCCAGCTTCTTGCTGTGGTCTTTGGTGAGCAGGTCGCGGACCTCCTCCTGGTAGATCTCCAAATAAGAGGCCCGGACCAGGTACTGCTGGTTCTGAGAGCGCGAGATGTGCGTGAAGATGTGCTCGAACGAGTTCGGGATGATGCCGCGGCGCTCGGCGTCCAGCCACTGGCCTTGCATGGTGTACGTCTTCCCGGTTCCCGTCTGTCCGTACGCGAAGATGGTGCCGTTGAAGCCGCGCAGAACCGAGTCGATGAGCGGCCGGACCGTCTCGTCGTACAGGTCGCTCTGTTTGGAACAAGCGTCGTAAACCGCATCGAACGTGAAGGTCTTGAGCAGCTCTCCCGGACCCGCCTTGGGGTTCCGCAGGGCCACCTGGCCCAGTTTCACATCCATCTGCACGATATGCTCATACCCCATCGATTCCTCTTTACGGTTGAGCGGGCGACACCGAACCACCACCTTCACCGCCTCGCCGTTTTTGGCTTTCATGGACATGTTGAACCCGTCTGCGAGATGAATGGATAATGAACGAGGGCAGTATTCCCGTTAAAGCAGATGGATGATGGAAGATGTCAGCATCAGCATCACCCGGTTACCGAGCGCATAATGTCAGTCCCGGTGCAAATCTCTGCGGTCTCCACAAATGAATAAAAGATAAAGGCGGCTCCGTCATGAACACATATGGCTGAAATCATAAGCTCAGAATATCTCACCGATTTCCACCGAAACACAAGAAGATCCGTCTGACAGAGAATCACACACATCAGCTGCGCTTCACTGCAGCCCTGCCCAAACACACACACACACGCACACACACACATCAGGGTTGCCAGATCTGACAAGAGAAACAAGCAGTCTGAAATATACAGATGGGGATTTTTAAGCAATTATGGCTCTGCTGGGCAATTACAGTAATTTCATATCTCAGTTCTTTACTTAAAATTTGAAAAATGTATATTTGCTAAGAGAAATTAGCATGGTTATTAAACAGATACCTATAGGCTATTTAATAAAATAATAGACCCAGTGAACAAAGAAAAATGTGTTAAAATGTAATTACATTTTTAGAACAAAATGATGACATGCATTATAATAGTTTCTGTATCTTATACACATAATCTTCCTTAAATAATTTTAAACTATTAGGGAAAAAAAGTTTATATGTCTAGAAAATAGCAACTACTCACTTTATGAAAATCAAGGGCAAAATCGTTTAAAAAGGGCAAACATGGCAACACTGTAACACACAGTCACACACAGTCTGGTTCACTATCCTTGTGGGGACTCTCCATAGGCGTAATGGTTTTTATACTGTACAAACTGTATTTTCTATCGCCCTACACCAACCCTACCCCTAAACCTACCCCTCACAGGAAACTTTGTGCATTTTTACAATCTAAAAAAACTCATTCTGTATGATTTATAAGCTTCTGTACCCATGGGGACCTCAATTTAGGTCCCCACGGTGACACAAGTCCCCATGAGTTGGTGTGTATTCAGGTTTAAGTCCCCACCAGTATAGAAACACACACACACACACACACACACACACTTTCCTTCAGTGCGATCATTTCGGAAAGGCCCCAGAGGTGTTTGGGATTTGAAGTTAAATGGTTTAATGCTGGATGAGTTAAATATGGATCAGATCAGATCAGTGTTTGATAAAATGCTAATTATTGCAATATAGGCTACAAAAAGATGAAAAAATAATAATAATGTAAAGAAAACATTAAAACCATAATATTTTTTATAATGTAATTTACTTTAAAACAAATATTTGTGTTATTGCTCATTTCATTCAGTTAATTTTTCATATATTCATAACCTTAGCACGCACCTTTTTTTGTATCTGCATATATTTTTCTGCCCATCATATCTGCTTACTATAGCTTTTTATTCCTAAAACGTGCAAACACTGATGAAAAAGGTGAAAGCCCAAAGATATAGCCAAATATTCAAGACTGAACACTAGGCCTACTATAATGTAGTGCAATAGCCCTGATAGTTTTTTTCCTTGTGGAGATAAAATAACAATAAAACTGACTTTGACTACAGCTGTAAATATCCTCCTGAGACCCAGCTATGGAGTTTTTGCCTCTGTAGTGGACATTATATTTTAGTGAATTTCTCTGAGACCTCACATGTCACAGTTGTACGTCTGGATGTCCCGTACAGAGCACATTCAGTGCTTTCCAGAGATACCAAATGACTGGATGTTTCACCGTGACCACTCCCTCTCCTTGGTTTTTAAAAATGGCTGACATTAATTTAGTGATAAAATTGTACATCGTTATGGAAATATGATAATATTTTTGTAATTATAATTGAAATCTGATTCATTTTCAAATTGTTTGTCATAAATCAACATCTCAGGAAAATGTTATGGGGTTTCAAATCAAAATATGACCGTCTGTTATGAAACAGGACATAATTTCATACATGTCCACTGTAGAGGACACCAGGACTAAAATCATGTTTATTATACATTTTGGGAGACAAAAGAATTGAATAGGAAAACAAATTATATATCAATATTATTATGAAATATTAGAAATTATTATGAAAATCTGGCCAATTACTACTCCCATTATTACACTTCTTTTTT